CATCCTAAACTTCTTTTCACATCAGCTCGAAGCTTTTACTACTACTACTACTACAGCAACTTCGTCTTCTTCTTCTTCTTCTTCTTCGTTTACCTTCTTCCGAAGAGAATCGAATTTTTCCGCGACGCTCACTTTTGCTTTTCTATTCCTATTTTGTAGCTTCACGCAGCATTTAGCTTTCCTTTCTATGGTTTTTTTCAATGTAGTTCACTACACGCTAGGTTTTATCGATGATCGAGACAACACATAGTTTAAAATAGTAAGGCGATCTTAATAAGCGCCAAGGCTGGCAATGGTCCTACTTTTTTCACACCGCGTTCTCTTTGATTTTTTCTTTCCTGATGTTGCACGATTAAACGGGGGTCTCTCTTCTTCAACGGAAGATACTAAAAGGAAGTTCGGTATCTTCAACGGAAGATACTAAAGGAAATTCGATTTTTCGCCGGGGAATACTGCCCGGAACATTCTCGATGTGCAACCAAATGCGATCGGCTCTGTAGAAATTAGTACTGAGAGAGAGAGAGAGAGAGTGAGAGAGTGAGAAAGAGGAGGGAAAAACGTTTCATTCTATAAGCGATGTTCTGTGATACGTTAAATAATTGTTATATTTAAAAGAAGAAAAAAAGGTTCCAATGAAAACGATGTTCGCCGAGGCCTTGGTTATACGCAATCTAGTTTCGCAACGTGTTACTGTAGTTTATTATGATTTTATTATAACTATCGAAGTACGCGATAATAAAAGTGTAACTGAAAGGGTATAAAATGTCTCAGATTTTTCGTATTTCGCTCGTAGTCAATTAAGTATCTTCGATCGATCCGTCAACTGGAAGATGTCGCTCGTTCATGCACCTCTGAAGATCAAGAGAAGAACGGAGAAGAATCATCAACGGAAGATTAACTGTCCCGCGAATATCGATGCTTGATTTATCGATCGATTTTTCGAACAAGTCGTATTCGTTCTTTTTCTTTTTTCGTCACCTTTTTTCTTCCAAAGAGAGTGCAATCGAATCTTTTTTTCTCAATTTCGAAGCACTTTTTGACCGAGATTTCGCTTCACTTACGGTATTCTGGATCTGCTAAGCTACTATCGAAGATATAATCACCCTAATACATTCTTGCAGAGAACGATCCCCGAATTAATCACCTTTTGATTTTGATTTCAGGTCAGTTGAGGTATCCGCGAGACGATGCCCCGAAGCCGTATCCATGTTCGAAGTGCACCAGGTCCTACACGAACAAAAGCACGTTGAACCGTCACTTGCGGGAGGAGTGTGGCAAAATGCCGCAGTATTTGTGCCGTTATTGTCAGAAAGCGTTCAAGCAACGCTCGAATTTTCAGCGACACGTGTGGACGGTCCATGGATGCGTCATGTGACACGATCGTTTTGGGATACTTCGACGAGCTCGGCCGTAATCCACTCTGATTCGTCCCAGATAATCGGACGATTTTTCACATAGCGCAGAATTTTTTTTACGTTCCCCGTTCCGACGCTTTCCCTGGGTAAGAGAAAGCGACAACGGCGATCTATCGACGTGCAGTGATTATACGGAACTTGTACCCGGCGTTTGTGCGAGGCTAATTACGCTAACTTTGTACGCACTGCAGAATAAAGGCACAATTTTCCATGCATCGCCAAACTACTTGCCTTACTTTTTCATTGCTTCCGGCAGAAACCACCATTTATTCACCGTATATCCAGTCGTTGCTTCTCGCTTCAAGTTAGGATTCGAAATCTCGCGTAATACGGCGGACAGAGACGAAAAATAATTCGACGAGGATCGATCGATCGATCGATCGATCTCTCTCTCTGGTTAGGTGTAGTTAACGGAGGTGAAATGTTTAATGCTCGCTCGTGGCGATGCCAATTGATCGTGCGAAGCAGGACAATTTTTAAAGGTAGCGATACTTGTTGACCGATAATCGAGGAAGCATTGTTCTGACGATCGAACTACGATTTCAGGGTGGCAACTGGCGGTAGGACAAGAAGGAGACTCGCCGATCTGCACTTTCTACCAATGCCACGTTTGCGGTAAAACCTACTCGTGGAAGTCCTCCTATCATCGACACCTGAGGGAAGAGTGTGGCAAACAGGAGAAGGCCAAGTGCAAGAACTGTGGAAGACAGTACCGCTGGCGGGACTCTCTGAACAAACACTTGAAGTACGAGTGCGGCGTGGAGCCGAAATACACGTGTTCTGTGTGCGGGAAAAAGTTTCGCCATAAACAGTTGTTGACGTCCCATTCGAGGAGGTTCCATTGATACCGGCCCCTCTAATCGCGTCTAATTCATTCCGATTCCCGGGCAAGTCCGTTTAGATGTAGTTAAACAATTTCCGATATCGCCTTTTTCTTCGCTGTTTCACAGTTAGTAGTATACTCAGTTTATCTATTGGAAGCAATAAAGAAGAGTGTAATAATATATCTCCTTGTTTGATTCCTCTTTCTCGTCTCCTCGATCCCTGTCGCGCTCACACTTCGCGGTTCTTGACGCGTGTCTTCAAACCGGCCGGTATATGTAGATACACGTTATATACAGGGTGTCCCAGTTGTTTCTGATCAAACTTCGTCAGTGTGTTCTATAGGTATAGGTAAGAGAAAAATGTCGTACGAACATAGGTCGTTTGAAGCTTCGTTAAAAAGTTATACGAAGGGAATGGTAACGGAAGTGCGGCTACGATACGAGGTAAGAATAGATCAACGACGTCTACGCAAGCATTTACTATCTGAGCTCGTTGGAGGTGTCGAATGTTGAACTTTTGCCTAGTGCTATTCTTGCCTTTTTATCGTAGTTCGATAACCGCAAGATCGTTACCATTCTCTTCGTATTTTTCTTAGAATCTTTTTAACCAAGCTTCAAACGACCTACGTTTATATAACATTTTCTTCTCGCCCGTACCCCTAGAACACACTGACAAAGTTTGATCGAAAAAAATTTGGACACCCGGTATATGATGATAATCGTGTATTCACGGTGGCAAAGATATATACTATGTTATCCTTGGAATACCGCTTCTTGCAGCGAGACTAGCAGTGTGAATTACAAAAAAAAAAAAAAAAAAAAAAGAAAGAAAGAAAGAAAAATGTAGGCGAGCCGCGCCGTGTACATGTGACGAGATAAAGGATGCGAACAGATTTTCGATACTCCGTTAATTTCATTGTCGTTCTCTTTGCGATTTGTTTCAGACTCGAAGAGGGACCTGAATCGCGTCAATTACGACGCCCCGTTTACCTGTTACAAGTGCGGGAAACGTTACACATGGACCGACTCCTTGACGAGACACCTGCGGGAGGGCTGCGGGAAATTGCCAAGGCACAAGTGTACTCTCTGCGGAAGAAAGTTCAAACGCAGGGACTACTTGTTGCGTCACGAGAATAACGTTCATAAATTAGAGTGAAAGATCGTTCACGATTTTGAAGGAAAGAAACGCTTCCAAAACAACTGTTCCATTCCGTCGAGAATCTCGTTCCTCGTTCTGTCGCGACAGAGACACAACTGGATCTATCTGTTTCGCCGAAGACATTTTTTATAACGCGTTTTTTGCCGGTAGCTTTTTAAACATTCCGAAAGCAACAACAACCACTGTGTGTACTATCCGAACGACGATGTAAAGAGACCGCGCTCTGCAACGTTTGCGTTCGCCTATAAGACTGAAATCATCGATTACGAAAGCGTCATTTGTGTAGATATTGTTAGACGTAAAGAGAAACCGCCGTCGTCAGTCACCCTTCCCGTCAACGATGTTCGATCTTTGAATTTGAATTTTTACAATTTAAACGTGTTCAAATTTGAACCTGCGAATGTATAACGGATGAAATAATTTACGGACCACGAGTCGCGATCCTAATTCGTACTTGTAACACTAACATTTTCTAACGTCACTTACCATTTTCATACGTATACAGTGTAAGTAAATTTTTCAACGTGTTCGGCGTATCCGCAGAAAGAACAATATACAGTGTACATATAGATAGATTTATTATACCCGGGAACGCGGTACCGTTTCTACTTCGACGACAAAAGTGATACAACGACACTGAGAATGTGCAATGTAAATATGCCGTATTATCGCGCGATTCCTTTTTTTTCTGTATGCAAAATCTTGTCATACGAGTAATTCATTAAAACATCTATTGAATAATAAAACAAAACAAATAACGGAGGAATTGAACTTGAACCAGAATTCATACGAATCGAGCGTTAGAAACAAGAACAACGAGGAAAACCTGGTCGCTGACAAATTTGCATCTCAACGGTAGGATCCGAGGGCTTTTAGCAACGAAAACACACTGGCAATTTTAACCAAACTTTTTCGTCGAAAAAGCAACAAAAGAAAGAAAAGAACAGAAAAACGTCGAGGTGTTTCGAATTATCGCGAAAGAACAGGGCCGCTCGAGCAGCCGTTTCGCGAGCAAGAGCGCTCTTTTTTGCCCCGAGCAGAGTCCGCGGGCAGCGGTCGGGGCAAATGACGTCGACAGTCGCGAATGGAGTGGAGAGAAACGGTAGTAGTTGGAGTGTAGGCTTGTAGATAGGCATGTGTTGGTCCTTTTTTCATCACGTGCCTATCCTTCGAAGTATAGTTCTCAATCTTATGCCTCAGGATCGTTGCTCAAGTAGGCGTGGCCTGTTGCGCAAGTAGGCGTGGCCTGTTGCTCAAGTAGGCGTGTCCTGTTGCTACAATATCGCTCCCTGCTCCCGTTTGTCTCACCACTTCGCGTAGAGCAACTTGGCGAGCGGTCCTTGCTGTAGAGTATGTAGAAGGTTGACACGAGAATCTCTTTCGTTTCGGCACGATAGGAAAACGCTAAGAGCTATACGAATCAGGCGTACCATTGAACGTAATTACAGAAACTGTATTGTTCTTTCAGCTTACTGCGGTTCAGACTATTACAAGAGACTCGGGAGACACTTCTGCTCGAGTTGCGGCAAGGAGTACAGATGGATGCAGTCTCTGGTTAGACACGAAAGAGAGGAGTGCGGAAAGGACCCACAGCACAGTTGTCCCGTTTGCGGGACGAAAATTCGCCATAAATGGATGTTAAAGAAGCATCTGATCAATGTTCACCACTGGGTCGTTTCCAATGGGAAGGACACGTCGGGCTGATGAACGAGTTTCCTTGTTGAACATGTTTATTTTGCGTAGATAAGAGAGAAAAAGATAAGAAAGAAAGTTCACTTTACACTCTCGCGCTGTTTCGCTCGAGGATGATACGTTTTACAGAAATTGTATTTGTGTACGTTATGTAAAATTTTGATTAATAAAGAAGCTAAAGGAAGGCGCATTGCGTAGCGAATTCATGTAGTCACGAATGGTCTATAAACGCGAAGACGGGTAAACAAGTAGTTGAAAGAAAATTCTTCTTCCTTCCTATTCCAACCAAATCGTGCAACGTACAAATCTGGTGTGTCGTTTGATTTTTTAGGACTGCTTAGGATATTCGTCTGCGGCACCTGCGGCAAGACGTATAAATGGAAGGAGTCGTTGCAACAGCACCGCCGGCTAGAATGTGGAATCGAGCCGAAGTTCTGCTGCATTTTCTGCGGCAGAAGATTTAAGCACAAGCACCACTTGAAAGAACACGTGAAGAGACGTCATCACTGCAATCAGTTGATAGTTTCGCGGTAGAATGATGAATAAATCAATCCCTCTTTTCCTTCCTTCTTCCCTTGTTCCAGCCTCGAGTGAGCCGTCGAATTGTCAACGGGAAAGAGAACGTTTCGATTAACTTGTACAACGTAACAATACTCATAGACATATTTAATCGTCGTTTATTGATATTAGATGATTGTCAAGTATCGATATTAGATGATTGTTACATTGTAGGACACATTTTTCTTCTTCTACCTGTTCAATGTTCCTACGATCGTTCGTATCGCGAACGTGCCACTATTGTAAATAGTTTTCAAAGATAATAAACGATATTGTTGTGCAGCATTTGACGTTGGATCGAAAAGCGGTTAGTTTTTGTTATGAGAGAAACAGAGTGAATATCGGTTGAATCGGACGGTGGGGGGTTGGTTCCTAGTGTTAATAATAAATCTGTACCTTTCTTTGTGATTTCAGGTTTACCGATTTTTGTGTTTCGTTCGAGTTATCTGTGTAACAACTGTGGGAAAACGTACAAATGGAAAGAGTCGCTGAACTTGCACAAACGTATGGAGTGCGGGATCGAGCCACGGTTCTGTTGCAAAATCTGCGGGAGAAGATTCAAACACAAGCACCACCTCACGAAACATCACAAATCTATTCATAATTACGTCGATTAGTGATGATCGACGGATCCGACGGATCGACAGGTGTCGAAGGACAGTCACGTTCTTGTGCCGTGAATTCATTCAGTTCGCAAAAACCAAAGACGAACTTGTCACTTTGCGCGATCATTTCGACTATTACAGGGAAAACGAGATTGGAAAAGAGAGGAGACAAAAGAGTAGAAGGGAGAGATAGTTTCAAGCAAAATTAGCATTGTTCGATGTGTACGTTAAAACGAATTCGATAGGCCGCTGCTAAGTTTCACGAGGATAGAGGAGATTACGAGAATAAGCGCAGCGCATGCTCGCTTCTACCGCAAAACAAACTTCTTTCGAATCTGCCCCCGTTCTAATTGCCTGAAAAATTCTCTCGATTACGCTTACAAGGCTCGAAAAAGGTACTCTGTTCTCTTCTCGCCTTGTGCAACGCGAATGTTACGAACGTTCTGATCGCGAACGATGAGAAACACCACTTGCTAAATTCGTTTTCACTCGATCGAGAGAGCTTGATGTATTTTGTACGATTTTTCTTTTTTTCTCTTTTATCGGCTCGAATTGTCTAATTCAGTATTAGTAAAAACGATGGAAAAGCGCCTTCTGCATCCACGCACGACTGATCGTTTGTGTTTCAGGTGGAGCCGCCGCCGCCGCGGAAACAATTTACCCGTGCAAAGTGTGCGGCAAGATCTACTCGAGAAAATCCTCCATGTACACGCATCTACGTCTGTGCGGGAAGGAACCGAAATTTCACTGCGTCCTTTGCGGCAGATGGTTCAAATACAAGCACAGATTGCAGTCGCATCTTATCTCGAATTTGCATAGTCGAGGATATCGATCGTAAAGAAAACAAAAAAAAAATATCGTTTCTTTCCTGTCTGATCGTAACACGTTTTATCGACAAAGTGGCAAAAGAAAAAAGAAGGACAAAGTAGTAGTTGAAGGAGCTAAGAGACGCACCCACCACGGTGCTAATGAAAAATTGTTTCGACGACGATGAATCTTTTTTAACAGAAGATCCCAGAAAATCACTTTGTATAACTTATTCAAATGATTATTTTGCTACGCATTTTCCACGTTCCGGGCTTCCAGTGAACTTGTACGCAAAACTTACTTAGAGAGTTTAATAAAGGTTCGATGAGAATTTAACAACGAAACGCCTAATTTCTTTGAAGGTGCATGTTGTTCAAGGTAACGAAGTAATTAACAGGTGAAATTGTTCGCAGAGATATACAGGTGATAGCCACGTTAACGTTGTATCGTTTTGATCGTTTCGTTGGCGTAAAGTGCGATGGGACGATGTGTGAAGGGTAGCAAAGATCGAGGGACAGTCGTTGATCTCTTCGTAAATATTGAAAAAAAATCGATCGGCTAACCAGCGCGATACGCTTCTTCTCCTTTTTTCCAGCCTACTTGCAGAAGGTGCGGACCTGTTCTCAATGCGGCAAACGTTATAAGTGGCGTGGTTCCTTGCGGTTCCGTCCGATTTGCGGCAGGAAGTTCAAGCGCAAGCATCACTTGCAATCTCACGTAAATTGCGTGCACCGTGTTAATTTGTAACGTGCATTTTCTTCTCACCCTCGCGATGTCGTACACTTTTCTCCCAACGCAACGAATAAAACGAATTATCAGGGCTAATAAAAATTTCGACGGCAAGCACTCGCGAGATACCTTTTTCGCGGTTTCATTGTAGCATATTTCAAGGAAAAGAAGAGAAAGAAGAAGAAGAAGCGTATACTTTTCTTCCACCGGTGAAACGCTAAATTAGCATACTCAGTGTTGTTACCGTTGAATCGTATTCGATCGATTGTCGTGGTACATCTATCAACAGATCACAATTTCTCCGTCAAAGTTTATGTTACCCGTAGCTTTTAGTTGTTTTGTGCGAAAAAAAAAACGTGGCCTGTCTGAAAGAAAGAAAAGAAAAACAAAAAGGTACCGTACGAAAGTCGTGGAAATAATTTCTCGATTTTTCTTTCCAGCCAGCTTGAAGAAATTGTGGTGGTGTTTCCAGTGTGGCAAACAGTACATGTGGCGAGACTCGTTGAAGAAACATCTGCGCATCGAGTGCGGCAAGGATCCTACGTTCGAGTGTCCGATTTGTGGCAGGAAGTTCAAGCACAAACACCGCTTGCAGTCTCACGCTAGATTGATACATTGTCTAAACGTATGACAAAACCGGGGGACATCCGAGTCTAAGCCTAGTCATCGATCGACGGCTCGACGAACGGGAAAACCTAAACCGCGACGCCGCACTTCGTAACAGACTGTGATCGAGCGTTCTCTCGAAAAATCGATCCCCAAACGCTCTCTCGCGTTCTTTCTTTTTTTTTCTCTCTCTCTCCCACCCCACCTGTCTGTGCGATATCGAGTCGACGATGTTACTTGTTTTTAAGAAATAAACGTTGAATGTTACAAAACGAATTCTCGCGTGTATTTGTATGAGAGGTTTTGCTTTTTCTCAAAGTTCAGCGCTAAATGCTTTTTACGCAACTGGACGAGAGAAAGGAGCGAAGCAAGCGGGATGAAGTAAGTATTGCAACCACTGCTACGCTTATTCCTCTTCTTCTTCTTCTTCGAAAAAAAAAAGACAATTCTGAAGAATCTTAGGTGCGATCATGCTCTCATTTCTTCGCTCCTGCGCCGTATTATCCTTTCCCTCTCTCTCATTACTGCTGTTCGCCTCTTTATTTCCTCTCGAGACTTCACACGCGAATCGTCCAGCTGAACGTGTCAAATCGATATTCCGCTGGTTCGATCGTGTGCAACGATCGGCGTAAATTTCCGTGTGAAAAGCATTCGCGACCATTTCCCGTTTCGCCGACTGATTGCTTCCTTTTTGTTTTCCAGTGCCGAGGCTTACCGTGAAGAACATCGAAAATCTGCGTTACAAGAGGAGACCGGTGATTCACAAGTGTACCAGATGCGGGAAAGGCTATCAATTGGAGACATCGCTGAGAAGACACCAGAGGCTCGAGTGCGGCGTGGAACCGAGGCAGAGCTGTCAGATTTGTGGAAAGAAGTTCACCCATAGATTCAAGTTGACCCATCATTTAGCCTCGTGCAGAAGAAAACGAGAGTACTACGGGACGATATAGAACGTGGTGGAGTTGATCGTGTCCTTGTCCATCGTAGAAAAATGGAAAACCAAACGGAGTATCATCTCTGAAGAGCAACGAACGTGAAATACTAGCAATGTGATCAAAGGGATGCCTTTATATACAGCGTGAACGTCGCTGAAACTCGTTATCCACGAATGTGATAAAAAGAACCAATGTTTTCTAACGACCAAGTGTTTTTTTCAAGATTCTGCTACGATACCGACGAAAGAAATCACGTTTCCCCCGATGTAGCTGTAATTATACAATTCTCTCGACGGAGCCTTATATCGAATGTCTATCTTTTTACACGTAGCTTGTTTACGGCGTATTGTCATTTTCTAAAGTAACACGACGCACAGGTGCTGTCTATCGTCGATTAATCAAGGCCAAGTACGAAACCAAGTACGAAGTTTGTCGCTTCGTCGAAAATGTGAATCGAGAGAGCGCACAACAGGATTGTACAGATTTTTATACGAGTGAATAAATACACGTTTTCCTGTATAAATCTCGTATCGTTTATCAGAGTTGTCTCTTTCTTTTTCTTTTTTTTTTTGTTCACACGAGAAAAGACATATTCTCTCATCGATGCAAGAGAAAGAAACGTCACGTTCCTCTGTTTAACCTGTCGCTACTTCGAAACCCTTTTTTGAACAGCAGCAATTTACACGTTTCTCGCTTGTCTCCTCTGTCTAACTGTCGATTCTTCCGCTATAGCTGCTACAGTGATAGAGCTGGGCAAAGTCAATAGTTTAACCGACGAATCGTTTCTTTCGTTTCAGGGCCTCGGATAACGATGGTGGTGTCTCAGTGTATGGAGCACACGCGGGATAATAACGAAGCGGCGTCATGGAGCCAGTTACCTACCCACGGCACGGTTTCCAACAAGTCGAGGAAAAGTCGAAGATCGGGCGAGTCGAAGAACACCTCTGCGAATTACGTTTGCAGCAGGTGCGGGAATACGTACAAAGCCATCACGTCGTTGAGCCGTCACAAACGGCTCGAGTGCGGCGTCGTGCCCTCCGAGGTTTGCCCTATATGCGATCGAAGATTCAAGCACAAATTCGTCCTCAAATCGCACGTCGTTGGATGCCAAAGAAAACTGCGATACATGATACAGAAAAGTAACGACACGGCCGCTTTTACCAAGAAACAGGAGTAGTCGTCCTGTTCTCCTTTTTACCATTTTTTGTTTTTTTTGTACCCCATTGATCTGACGACGGAACGATGGAATCTTTGCGTTCGACGTGCCGAATCTTACTTGTACACACACGTCTCCGAACGTTTGTCCGTTAACCCTTTCGCTGCGACAGAGTTTGACCGTATTTGTTTTTTTATTGGTATAACTCTCGAGACAATAAAGGGGAACAATTGGAGGAAAGTGGATCGGTTACCCTGGAGATACCCAGCTCCGTGCTACGCTCGAAACTTTGATGGATGACTACAGTTACTTTTGTAATATTTGTAATACAGCGAGCGTTCAACGTTTGACTATAGTCGGCTCTAATAAGGAAAGGGTTAAATATAAACGTGACCGGCGTGATTAGCTTGCGAAGAGAAAGAGAGAGAGTGAGTGAGTGAGAGAGGAAAGAGGACATGCGCGCACGATAACCGTCTGATCCGTAGTAATCTGCATACCATTTTCAACCATAAGCTTTATATTTGAACGTTTTATATGTACCGGTGAATTAACCGCGAAATATGGCATATAATAAAGATGACTGTGGTGAACGAGAGCATCGTTTCCCAGGATTTTTCAAGACGAAGTTGATCCTTGTTGCTCGTACAGTTTGCACCGATGTTGGAACGAAAATTCCCTAACTTCACCAAAAAAAAAAAAAAAAAAAAAA